ACATTTCCAGTTCCCTCTCGTAATGCATCTCTGGAAATAACTGAAGCTTAACAAAAAAAAGTCAATCTCAGAGATACACTTCCGATAACGCAAGGGTTGTTTCTAGTTTTCATAGAATTTTTTTCATAAGCATAGGGTGTGGTAGGAAATCCCTCATATTATTGTATGCCAAAATAAAAATTTAGTCACAAGTGTATGGTAAATAACTTAAACTAATTGTCAAATTCGGTTTATTTTAATGTTTAGCTAAGCGCTCAAACGTACATTCTCCCTGCAATAACAAATTTTAGGTGAAAATGTCCTATAAAACAGAGACATTACACCTTCCATGCACTAACAACCTCCCTGCTTCTTCAACTTGTAATCTATCAAGATGAGATCCGCAAGAATATTTGCATCACAACATATATAAATATAATTGCAAGTAATAATAGTCTAAACTTAAGTCACAATAATGTGCTGCAGTAAATTACACATCCAAACAATAAGATATATAACTTGTAAAAATATGGTTGCCTCGGTAAAACAATAGTAACTCAAAGCTCTGTGACCTGTGAGAGTCTTTACAACCTCAAAAGAATGCTTCAAAAGATTAGTTTGGTGCCTGAATTGGATTGCTGCATTTGGTTTCATTCTTTTGAAGATTAGGGTTTTGGTATTCATCAGATGAATTATGTTAGGGTTTCAATTTTGTGCTTCAAGGTTCATCGTTTCTAATGGATCATCAAGAACATCTTTTCATGGACATCAAAGTGATTCAAGTTATTCAACTTTGCATCTTGGAATTAGGATTTTCACTTGATTTGAAGAGAATTGATTCAAATTGAAGAAAAGTGAACAAATGCTTAAAGTCAAAGTTTGACTTTTGAGATTTTTGGTCAACCATGAACATGTCAAGTCAAATTTCATGAAAATGTGAAAGTGGGATGATTTTGATAAATTGAAATCATGAAAATCAAGAAAAGTGTAAAAAGAAGTCCAAAGTTGAACACTTTCTAAGTGTCAAAGAACATGGTCCTTTATGTGACTTTGTAAGCTTGCATCTCATTCATTTGTGTACCAAAATTAGTAAGCATAGGCTAAATTTGAAGCTTGCATTTGGTACTATATGAGGATAAAAGATTGGGTTCAAAAACTTTCTCTAATTGGTAGAAATTTGATTCTAAAGTTGAGGTTTCATATTTATGCAAGAGAGTTAGGGACTTAGAACTTTTCTAAGTGTTGAAACATGTTCAAGTGCATGTTCTCTCAATCATTTTGTGATAAACTCAAGCAACCATTTTTAACACTTGGGGTCTACAATTAAAGATGGTATTTTTGATACTTCATCATGGTGGATAATTTGATCCAAAAAACTTTTGTTAAAGGATTAAAATTTGAAGCTAAAGTAGAAGATTCAAATTGGCGCAAGTGGGCAAAACACTTAAAAATTTCTCTAAGTGTTTGGATTAGTTTTGAGGCATGACTTTGGGGTCATTTCATTTTAGTTTCCAAGCTTTTTATTAAGTTGTTCTCAATATCAAAGTTTTTCCTTGTTATTCCCTTTTTTCATAGAATCCAAGATCACACAAATTAACTCATTAAGCAAAAGAGATAAGATTGATCAAAGTCATGCTCGTGCAGACCCAAAATCCATTTCAAGCTTTCTCATCATTCCAATTTCCAAAGTCCAATTTCAAGCAATTTCTAAACACCATGTTCATTCACATTAGTCACCATTTTTCAAGCCTTTTACCAATTTAAGCATGTCTAAATAAGGGCCCAGATATGGTTCGAAATCAAGCTCATAACCTCATTTCCATTTTGATACCAAAACTGTCCATAAACCTTATGCCACTTTTCATCATTTTTGTCCAAATACAAACATGAAAATCAGTCCATATCATGGCCAAGAACTTGTGCACACTTCATACTTTGCACCTTGCCATATACCTGACTCCACCTGATCAAACAAATCACTAAAATTTTGCCCAAAGAAGCCAAACACACGAGTTGCACATTATCACACCATGTCCAAAATTAACCAAAAACAGAATTTGTGCTTTTTGATTTAAACTTGCTCAGGAAGTTTTCACATGTGCCAGCTCATTATCTAAGCCAAGAGCAATGTATTTCATGCCTAACACTGATCCAAAACTCCCCACATTGCCCTTGATCTAAACCTATCAAAAGAGAGCATTTTCAATGTAACAAACTTCCAAACCCTAGCATAACCAACTCCAAGCCTTTGCTTCGGTTACTAACCCCACACCCAAGCTAGATGCACTCAGTATATAAGAATTCACCTTCCATTTTGTTTGACACACCATTTTTTTCCAAATTTGAAACTTCACTCTTTATCAAATTTCCAAATTTTGAATTCTTCCATTCTCTTAAGATATTGAAGAATTCTTGCTTCATTCATCATCTATACACATCAAGGAAACTTCTGTATGCAATTATTTGTATCTGGACTCATCGCATTGCACAGTTCAAGTTGTTTTTCTTCATCATATAGGTCGACTTGATTAGAGAGTTGTAGCAGAATTCAAAGCAAAGTAAGCTCAGATTCATACTTATGGATCTTCATTGAAGCTTCTTACATTATTTTCTTTTCGAATCAGGGACTAAGAAGAAGCATCAGACTTCTCCAGTTGATAAGGTTTCATGAACCTTCGATTTCTCCCTTCTAAGCATTATTTTCATTATTTCTTGATATGAATTTGTTGTTGATAATCACATGAGCTGAAGTCCTATGAAAATAGGTATTGATTGATTGTGTTTACGATTTAATTTTGATTTTGATCAGTTAAGTTGCATGCATATTTGATCCAATTGGTTGAGTTTTAATTTGATTTTGAGAAATCTAAGTCCATATCTGTTATCTATGTGCAATTTCGATTAGAACTGCTGTGTTTATTTTGTTTTTGGAGGCGAAGCCACCGTCACCGCCGCCCTGTGGCAACCAGTGCGATGGCGGTGTTAATTTGAGAAGAAGAAGATGAGGTGTCAATTGGCGCCAATTTTTTGAATTTAAAAATTATTGCGTGGCATGTTTTGATTGGTTGTTCCTTTTATTATTTTGTTTAATTTTGTTTTATTCTCAAAAAATATAAATAAATTGAAAATATTGTTGATGGATCAAAGTTGCACTGGACTTGTGTACACAGATTGCTATACACACACCACCATAGATCTGCATTGTTATTTTTGTATGAAGTTTTTTGATAAAGTTTTTGGACTTTGCTTATTTGGGCCTAGTGCCAGAACTGGATTGCTGCACACATATCCACATGCCGCAAATTTGAAACTCACCCAACACAGATGATATGATCATTGAGATTTAATGGTGGAGCAATACGTAGTGAAAAAAAGTTTATGAAAAATCGTATCTTATAAGATTAATACACACTCTCTCATACGCACTTGCTATGAGATGATCCATCTCAAGAAAGCGCAATCATTTTTCCTCCGGTGCAAATCTACTGACGCAAGGTACAAGAGCGTGATAAATCTCTTCAACTTTTTCTTTAATCCCAAGCACCCGTGTATATAATTCTCCATTGCTCCTCAACTCTCTGATAAGAGTATCGCGGACAAGTTGGTGATCCTTTTCCCCTTTATCGAACAAATCAAAAACAACTTGAAAACCACAGTTACCGTCACCGTTAACATTGACAATCAATTCAATGTAATTGTACATAAAAATTGACATCTCCTCAATGAATGATATTTATAGTGGAGTCAGTGTATGAGATGTTTTTGGTGGAGTCGGTGTAGGAGATATTTTTGGTGGAGTTGATGTAGGAGGTAATTTGCTAATGCAGGCTTCTTTGAAAATACTTTTCTGAGATTTCAGAATCGACGAATTGGGAAAAAATTTGTCGACATGTTCAAAATATGGCGGACTCCTCGTTGAATTGTCACCCGATGTAGATTTCACCTTCTTATGTATTTCTTTCGTTTTTACCGATTGAGAGGATGGTTTCAAGTCGGTGGTCTCCCGAAATACAATCTTCCTCAATTCTTCTTTCCTCTTTGATGTGGAGTTTTATTCATTGCATACCCGAAAGTACATTTTCGATATTAGCATGACCTTTATTCCATGAAAAATCAGATTAATGTGGTGAATATGAATTGAAATTAATTAACTTTACCTTAAATTCCAATTTCTTTAACTCCTTTTGATATGATAAACCACAAAAATAAAGATTCGGAGTAAAAAGCTTGATTGAAAATGAAAGGATTTTTAGAGAGGATTTATGAAAAAAATTGAAAATGAAGGTGATCACCCTGGTTCATGCTAGTTGTTGTTTTAAGCAATTTTACTTTTTTTTTATTTTCAGAAATACACTTTTTAAAGCAATTTTACTTTTTTTATTTTCCCAAAAATACACTTCCAATAATATCTGACATGCAAAAATTGCAAAATTTTTAATTTCCCACACTAATTAATCGGAATTGCATTTCCAGTTCTCTCCCGTAGATGCATCTCCGAAAGTAACTGAGGTTTAACAAAAAAAGATACATCCCTGAGATACACTTTCGATAACACATGGACAGTTTCGAGTTTTCATAAGATTCTTTTCATAAACATAGAGTGTGGTAAGAAATCCTCCATATTATTGTATGCCAAAATCAGAATTTAGTCACAAGTGTCTAGTAAATAACTTAAACTAATTGTCAAATTCGATTTGTTTCAACGTTTAGCTAAGCGGGTGAAAATGTACCCAGAAAACAGAGACATTACGCCTTCCATGAGCTAACAGCCTCCCTGCTTCTTCAACTTGTAATCTATCGAGATGAGATCCGCAAGAATATTTGCATCACAACATATACAGAAAGAATTGCAAGTAATAATAATCTAAACTTAAGTTACAATAATGTGCTTCAGTAAATTACACATCCAAACAACAGGATATGTAACCTGGAAAAGTATGGTTGCCTCGGTGAAACAATAGTAACTCAAAGCTCTGTAACCTGTGAGAGTCTTTACAGCCTCGGAAGAATGCTTCAATAGCTTAGTTTGGTGCTGTTCTTTCATTCGTTTGATCATGTGGTTGCCCTGGAGGTACATTCCCTGATAACATATCTATCACATTTTGAAAGACTCTTAGTTCCTGAGGGAGTTGATCAGAGTTTAGATCAACACGTCCCCCAAATTGAATTTCTGGTTCGTTAGCTTCACCACTATTGGCATCTTCTTGACTTCCATTCATTTGATCATGTGGTTGCCCAGGAGGTACATTCCCTGAGAACATCCCCATCACAGATTGAAAGGCGCCCCTTAGGTCCTGAGGAATTTGATCATGGTTTACATTAACATTAGCCCCAAACTGAATTCCGGGTTCATTAGCTCCACTACTATTGGCATTTTCTTGACTTTCCTGAGAATGCGACCCCTGATGTGCATTTGTAGCCGACATGAACATGCTTGCCAAATTGCTGGGGTTAAATTGCATTGAGGCAAATGTAGGTGGAGCTGTGTGGCTTGTCGAACCCCTTGCAGAATGGTTTTGGAATTCTGGAGATGATCTCGAATTCTTTAAAGAATAAAATGTTAGTTTTCAATATACAAAAGCAAATTGAAACAATGGAGAGAGTACAATGAAGTGAGATAACAAGCTATACTGCACTCCAATACCACATGTTTGTTTCTAATATGAAAAGCAAAAAGCCATAGTAAATTAATAAATTTAATTTGATACAGAAAGGTAAGTTAACAAAATGCACAGGAGTATGGCTAACTAAGTGAAAGCATTTGTATGACTCCTAGGAACTGTGGGGGTTGAAATGAAAGATAGGCTGTGAAAGACAACAGCAATAACCACCAAAGTTGGATCATGTATTACGTCAAATCTGCCAAAGGTTATTCATAATGCTTTCCAACAATTTCGTCACTAAAATAATTATTTTTACAATGAAAAAGGGAAGACCCATTAATTAGGACTGGTATGATATTTATTCCAGACAGAGAGCATCCATAATACTAATTTTACTTAAAAGAATTGATAATAATACCTGATTGTGACCGGCATTATGTTGCTCTTCCATCAACTTCTGCACAGCTACCTGTGGTTATCAAGAGCACTATCGTTTATGAACTATGACCATATGTAAAAAGCAAAACAAGAAGAGAAAGGAAAATAAAAAACAGAACAAACCCTTATATTTTCCTTAACAGTCTCATTATTGGGATCCAATTGCAAGGCTGAAAAGACAAAGAATCATGTTAGGGCTAAATAGAATGAGTTCTTAGATTTAATGCTTCCATATTCCAACCAGCTTGGATCTGATACTCATAACAGTATAATAAACCAACAATGGTTTGAAATTCTCTACACTCTTTCTAATAATAGTTTTTAATAAGTAATACAGAATGATTTTTTATGAAATCAATTTATTGTTTATTTCGACTATAATGTTTAAAACATGCACCTGCAATTGTAGGAACCCCAAGCAACAAAATAGAAGCTAATTAGTAATTAAATGAGTTCTGAAAATAATGTCAATATTCTCAGGAGGCGTCCCACTAAACTAACTTTGAAGCAGTGTCTGATGTACGTCGGTATCTGACACTTGTATTGAAGCAATGTTATCAGTGAAGAATTAAAGACTGTTGGAAGTTATTAGAGAGATAAGTATAGAATCAACAGATTATGTGTTATACAACTCAGCATGATATTCATTGTAATAATAATTAGTAATTAGCTATTAATAATTAGTAATGAATTGTCTTCTACCATATTTAGAATTAGCATTTAGAATTAGCATTTAAAGTGATTTGTCCCTTGTATTCTATAAATATCTTTCTATAAATACCATACTACAATATCAAAGAAATACAAATTGTTTGTTTCTTTATGGTATCAGAGCACCCAATTCTAGGAGCTCTGCTTCCGCGCTCAAAACACTAGTCATTCTTATTACGGTCCTTTTTTCTTGGTCAAGGTTGCCTTTCTCTTGGAACCCTAGTAATCTCGGTGACTTTGCATCCGTCGTGCACCGCTCAACCGTCGTTGCAGATCCAGACGGTTTCACCTTCATTGTTGTTTTTAGGACAACCTTCATTGTTGTACCTCTGTTTCTTGCTGTTTGCAACCCTTGATTGTTTGGTTGTCATCTTTGTTGGAGTTTCTCATTAGCAGCCCTTTGATTCTCTCCTAACCGTAGATCTCGACTCTCCTGGATCGAGACGGTTTGTTTCTCTTTATGGACTCCTTAAGTAAGTTCTCTAACACTAGTTCTTTGACCATGACTGGTAAGAACTCTAGCTTCTTAGCTTTTAATGCCTCTAGTTCTAAACATGTATGGATTATTGACTCCGGTGCAACTGATCGCATGACCCCATATATGTCATATATCTCTTCTTATTCACCTTTACCTAATAAACGCCATATTACCATTGCAAATGGGTCCCAAACCCCGCTTGTCGGATCTGGTAACATCCGCCTGAGCCCATCTCTCCACCTAAATCATGTGCTTCATGTCCCTAAGCTTTCTAACAATCTTTTGTCCATCCATAAATTCACTAAAGACTTGAATTGTGTTGTAACTTTTTTTCATTCATTGTGTTTTTCAGGACCTTGCCACAGGAAAGACGATTGGAATTGCTGAGGAACAGAACGGGTTATATTATCTGCCTCATAAGGAAAGCAAGTGTCATCAGGCTGGTTCAGAGTCATGGGCAAATACTCAAATATGGCTCCAACACAGGCGTCTTGGACATCCTCCTTTCCGCATGCTCAAGTCTCGATTCCCTCACATATTTACCAAAGTGTTTGTTGATTCCTCTCATTGTGATGTGTGGCAGTTTGCCAAATCCCATCGAGCAACCTATTCCCCTAGTGATACCAGTAGTCTCAAACCCTTTGATCTTGTTCATTCTGATGTATGGGGAGCCTTCATCCATTTTCAATATTTCTGGTGCAAAATGGTATGTTACTTTTATTGATGACTGTACTCGGGTTACATGGATATTTCTTATGAAAGATAAGTCTGAAGTGTGTCAATTGTTTGTTAACTTTTTTCAAATGGTTAAAACACAGTTTGGAAAACCTATTAAAAGGTTACGGTCAGACAATGGTAAGGAGTATGTAAACCAAAATTTTACAATTTTCTTAAAACTAATGGTGTTGTTCATGAGTAGACTTGTGTTGACACTCCACAACAAAATGGGATTGCTGAAAGGAAAAATCATCTTCTTGGAATAACCCAAGCATTACACTTTCAAATGAATGTTCCTGAATTTTATTGGGGGGGAGTTGTAACACCCCAGTTTTTAATTTTGATTTATTTAAATTTGGGAATTTATTTTATTAGAATTAATAAAATGAAGAGGAATTATTTATTTGGAATATTTGAAGAAATAAGAAATATTGAGATTTTTATGTTTTTGGGCTTAGATGTTGTTAGTAAAGAGTGGGGGTGAAAAAGAAGTAAAGTTATATTTTGGAACTCAAGTTATTCCTCATTTTGGTTTTCACGATAAACAGAAGTTGGAATTGGGGAAATAGAGCTCTGAAGGTACGAGGAACGAAGAACGGAGAACTTCGCTCAAGAATTCAAAGCTGCTAATTGATAAGGTAAGGGGGGTTATACTCGATTATATTTGTTTATGGGTTTATGTACGGTTGATTCGGGTAATCGTAGGAAATCCCAATTGTTAGATGTTTCTAGGGATCGATAACCGTAGGACTGAACTTTGTTAGAAAAGGATTAGGATTCCCAATTCTCATGAATCGATTAAGAATTTAGGTCCCAAATGGTGAATTGGGCGTATGTCTAATGATCGTGAATTTACCTTGGAAATTGTAGGGACAACCTCAGTGTCGGTAGAATTCCCCAAAGTTACGGTTAATCCCCGGTTAAGGTTATTATAATGATTGTTGGTAAATTGGATATTGTGGTATTGTTGTGGATTGTACAAACTCGATGCGTTAGGTACTGAAATACGCGTTTTGGCCGACATTTTTCCGCGTTTGGACGGCTGTTGTGAGCCACTGCAGGTTCAGAAAAATCTGACCCGCGCTCATCAACACGGCCGTGTTGTTTAACACGGACACCCGTGTTGATGCACTGTGTTGCCAAAAATTGTGTTTTCCAGACACAATTCAACACGGGCCGTGTTGTTTAACACGGGCACCCGTGTTGATCCCCTGTAATGAAAAAAAAAAGGTGTTTTCTGGACACAATTCAACACGGCCGTGTTGTTTAACACGGGCACCCGTGTTGATGCTGCTGTGTTGAATTTCTGAATTTTGTTTTCTGTGTTTTATTGTGGATGTTATTGCCATGCTTTTAGATATGTTATCAAGCATGAAGTATGATATGATTTGATGTGATTGGTTGATGTTTAAATAGTATGCTGAGTGTTTACATGCTATCTGTATCTTGATATGATTGATGTTTGATAGTATGCTGAGTGGTTACATACTATTCATATCATGTGATGTTTGATATTGTTGATGTGCATGATATGTTGAATGATGTTCATAGTATGCTGAGTGTTACATACTTACATATCATGTTGCATTTGTTAATTCCCATTGTGTGGAATTAACATGGTGGCCAATATACGTGTCCGCGATTTAATGGAACGTTGAGGTGGTAGCCGTGTCCGCGATATAATGGAACGGTGAGTTATCCGTGACCCGCGATTTAATGGGGCGGTGTAGTGGTACCACATGCATGGGTGTGTTGCATTACTCGAATATAACATGAATGGATGATTTTTCCAATGTTATATTGATTGTTTGTATGCACATGTGATTGATATATGGTTGATGATGTTTGATGGATATTTGCAATTATGAAAAGCAATATGTCATGGATATATGATTTGTAAAGGTTTTGTAAACTATGAAATATGTTAATTATTGGGTGATGTTTATGATTTCGTGAATTGATTGTTATGAATGTATAACCAAATGTATATTTGAGAAGCTCACCCTTACTGTTGAATATTTCAGATTGAGGAGCTTCGCTCAGGTGCTTGGCGAAGGCTTATCGTGTCTAGTTTAGTTTTGTTCTAGTATGTCCGGGTCATGCTCTGATAGTTGTAACTCCGGGAACGTTTGGTTGTCGAGCTGCTTTAGTCAGACTCATTTATTCCTTTATTTGTTATAATATGATGTTGACTTTTCCAGGTGTTAATCCCTGATGACTTTGGAAATTATTATAACAATTGATTTTATTGAATAAATTATTCCGCTGTGTAAACATGTATGAGTTACTGCTAAAAATTATGCATGACAGGATTGTTTTAATAGAAGAGAATTGTGACATCCTCGATTATACATGTACTCTGAAAATATGATTTTTATTTAAATTGCGAAAATTATATGTGGGGTTTTAGAGGGTGTTACAGGGAGTTGTCTTGACCTCTGCTTATTTAATCAATAGGTTACCTTCTAGGGTGTTATCTGGTGTCAGTCATGTGCAGGTCCTGACTCGATTCTTTCCGTTTGTGCCCATTATGTCAAAGTCTTCAGAATCGTGTCTTTGGTTGTTCTGCCTTTGTCCATGTTCATGGTCCTCATCGAGGTAAGTTAGATCCTCGGGCTATTAAATGTATCTTCATAGGATATGCTTCAAATAAGAAGGGGTACAAGTGTTATCATCCTCCTAGTCGTCGTGACTGCATATCCATGGATGTTACTTTTCAAGAATCTGAGTCTTTTTATCCCAGTCCACAGCTTCAGGGGGAGAATAATCAAGAAGCTGAGTCTTCAAAGTTGTCTGCCCTTCCTGTTATTCCTGTAATACCGGACCCAAAGCCGTCTCCTGAGTTGTCTGTTATTCCTCTAATACAGGACCCAGAGTCGTCTCCTGAGTTGTCTGTTCTTCCTGTTATTTATGTAATACAGGAGCCCTTGATGCCTAATGAGGATGGTGGTGATGTACCAATACCGGTGCATAATAATGTTGACAGATACAAGTTACAGTTCCAGCGAAAAAGGTGGAAAGGTAAACCTGTTATGTCCCAACAAGTCCAATCGTCTAAACCTAAGGTAAGTGTTCCTAACCCTAAGCCTAGTAATTCTTGTGAGTCAAACCTTTAGACCTACCTATTGCTTTGAGATAAGATAAAAGGTCTTGTACTAAATACCCTATATCCCAGTTCGTGTCTACTGAAAAGCTTTCTGTGCAGCATCAGAGTTTTATTTCAGCTATCGACTCTATTAGAGTCCCTGCATCAGTACAAAAAACATTAAAGGATAAGAGTTGGATTCAAGCCATGAATGAAGAGATACATGCACTAGAGAAAAATGGGACTTGGGAGATTATTGAGAAGTCAAAAGACAAGAGGCCAGTAGGCTGCAGGTGGATATATACGGTAAAATACCGATCCGACAGTACAATCGACAAATATAAGGCGAGGCTAGTTGCAAAGGGATACACCCAGACCTATGGAATTGATTATGAAGAGACATTTGCTCTAGTAGCAAAAATGAACACCGTAAGAATCATTCTTTCTTTGGCAGCTCACTTTGATTGGGAGTTGTGATAGTTTGATGTGAAAAATGCTTTCTTGCATGAAGATTTGAAGGAAGAGGTGTATATGGAGATCCCACCCAGATATGACCCTACTTCAGAAAGTAATAAGGTTCGGAGGTTAAAGAAGGCCATATATGGGCTCAAGCAATCATCCCGGACTTGGTTTGGGAGGCTCACTTATGTTATGGTGTCCGTGGGTTATAACCAAAGCCAAGGTGATCATACTCTCTTTATAAAGCATGCTCAAAATGGTAAACTCACTGTTTTGTTAGTCTACGTAGACGATATGATCATAGCAGGTAATGATGAACTTGAGAAGAAGAACTTCGAGAAAGGAGTTGGCAGCTTAGTTTGAAATGAAGGATCTTGGAAAGTTGAAATATTTCCTAGGTATGGAGGTAACATACTTAAAACAAGGCATTTTCATTTCTCAGAGAAAATATGTCCTTAACCTTCTCAAAGAGACTGGCAAGTTGGGTTGTAAACCCTCGAGAGTGCCTATAGAGAAAAACCGTAAGATTGGGAGTGATGAGGAAAACCCAAGGGTTGATACAGCTCAATACCAGAGACTTGTGGGAAAGCTAGTTTATCTATCTCACACCAGGCCTGACATAGCTTATCCGGTTAGTGTTGTCGATCAATTCATGCATGACCCACAGGAGAGGCACTTACAGGCAATGGATAGAATCTTGCAGTATCTAAAGATGAGCCCAGGAAGAGGACTATTGTTCAAGAAAAGTGACCAGTTGTCTATGGAGGTTTATATTGATGCGGATTATGCAGGGTCGATTGTTGATAGAAGATCCACCACTGGATATTGTATGTTCCTAGGTGGAAATTTAGTGACATGGAGGAGTCAGAAATAAAATGTAGTTGTCAGATCAAGTGCAGAGGCAGAGTTTAGAACCATGGCTCAAGGAGTTTGTGAACTGTTGTGGATGATGATCATTCTAGATGACTTGAAAATAAAGTATGAAGCTCCTATGTGACTTTTCTGCGATAATAAGTCTGCCATTAGTATTGCTCACAATCCGGTCCAACACGACAAAACAAAGCATATAGAGATAGACCGACACTTCATCAAAGAGAAATTGGATAGTGGTCTTATTTCTATACAGTACGTCCCATCGGGACTTCGGTTAGCTGATGTGCTCACCAAAGGACTTCCCTTGGAGCGATTTCGAGATCTTACGTGCAAGTTGGGGATAATAGATATCCATTCCCCAGCTTGAGGGGGAGTGTTGGAAGTTACTAGAAAAATAAGTACAGAATCAACAGATTATATGTTATACAACTCAGCATAATATTCATTGTAAATAGTAATTAGTAATTAGCTATTAATAATTAGTAATTAGTTGTCTTCTAGCATATTTAGAATTAGCATTTAGAATCAACATTTAAAGTGATTTGTCCCTTGTATTCTATAAATAACTTTCATGTATTACTTACTACAATATCAAAGAAATACAGATTGTTTGTTTCTTTAAAGACATTAATTTTGATTAGAATATTTTAACTCTTTTAATAATAGATATGAATAAGTGAAGTCAAATACTATCTTATATGTAGCGGTGTCCGTGTTCTATGTTTTTGTTGAAGATTCCACCTTCATTACGGTCTGCCTCTAGTTTCCTAATTGCGGCGTTTGGCTTACCTTCATTGCAGCCTCCAACACCTATGTTGTGTTGAGTTTGAAGGGATGGATTTAGTCTCACATTGCATAGAGATATGGCATGTGTAGTGTTTATAAAGTTTGGGCAGCCCTCGTCTTACAAACAGATTTTGTAGGAATGATTTAGGTCCAACCCACACATTTTTAAACTTTTTGACATTATCACTGTCGAAGTGGTTGTGCCGTGTCCCGGTGTTCATGTCGGAGTCCATACTTCATAGTCAATAAGTATGTCAAGCAGATTACAACAATAAAATAAATTAATATAATACTTCTCAGACCTCTTTGAAACCCTTTATCAATAGCATCTTTGTATTTTCCTTGTGCATAATAAGCTAATCCCAGACGACTGTATGCCTTACTGTAGTACGGATCAATCTCGATAGATTTAAGACAATCTTCTATTGCCTCGGTATATTTGTTAATTTGAGTATACGCAGCTGCCCTGAGATATTTCAAAAATATACGGTCACAAAATGCAGCTCAGGTATTCTGAGTCGGACAATTTTCCAGTCCAAAGAGTGTAAAATAAATTCATCCTCACAAACACATGCAAGAAAAAGAAAAAAAACATTTGAAACTAGATAAATGAATATCTGCATAGGATCATGTGATCCACCTTACTCCAACTACCTCTCCTTTTTTGTATTTTTAGGAGAAAGGGGACAAAATGAACCAAAAACAAATTTCCCAAGTTAAAACCTCCATTAGAGAGGCCTGGCACACTGAGTTTTTTGCCCGCACCCCCTCCTACAGTGCATTTTTTATTCTTCTCGCTGACACGATGTTTGGTGCCTTCTTTTCTCTCTTCTAGTCTGTTTATGGGTCCCCTTGTTTTGTTTGATAAGATAGGTGAAACTTAATTGGCAAGGTTGACAAGAAAGGAAAATCTATCATAATAGGGGATGAGAGTGAAATTGAAGAGATAGTTTGAGACACAGGCAGAGGATGAAGATGGACTAGTTGATGTTGATCTTAGGGATGATGAATGAAACATTGAACCCTTGAACTTTGTTTTCCTTAGTTCTTCTCTAAACTCTAAAAACTATAGATATTTACAACCTTCCAAAATTATTTGGTAAGACATGCTTGGTACAGCATAAGTAGAATACTTCTTAATCTTTTCCAGCTCAAAAAAATTCAAAAACAAACCTAAACAATGACATAGCATCCCACCAAAAAAAAAGGCGGAAGTTTCTGCTCGAAGTCATAAAACCTAACCCACAACTAGCACTTGATATTAGTTATTAGTTATTTATTAAATATAAAGAAAACTAGAACCAAGAACATTTATTAAACAATTAATACTTACATTCTGTGTTGAAACTACACGAGGTACCAGTCTGGGTTATGTACTATCTTTTCAAACTGCATTTATGGAGACGGGTACTATAGTACCCTACCTAGACTCTACCCTACCCATTGCCATCCCTATATACACACACAAGGCTGCAATATAAATACTATAGCAATATGTAGTTGATAAACATTACAGACAAGTGGAATACCTGTTGCAGTAGTAAACAGCATTCTTTTCATTTATCGCAATTGCACAATTATACAACTCAACTGCATCATTGTATTGCTTGGATTGCATTTCCTTGTTACCTGAGTGAAAATCCAATTTTAAATATTAGCTGGTCTTATGAAAATCCATCTAAATTGAATTCTATTTAAACAAACCAATCTGAGGTGCAATGTAAGGACGTTTTTGCATTCATTTTTACTGGTGAAGGATCTTCTGAATCATGTATGCCACAGTGTGTAGTAAGAGATAGGAAGGAGAGATTTCAAGGGAAAAGAAAGCTTCTTGAAGTCAATATCGTTTATCATACCTAGTGCTTTTAGTGACTCGGCCAAATTCTTCATATTAAACTGCAGATACCCAGATTTTTCCATCTCCTACAAAGAAGCAGACTTCATCAGACTTAAAACAGTTTTACTGAAAATTGGGTTTTGATAAATCCATCAACCAATCGTATTGATTGATTCATGTAGTCAACCCCAACTAGTGACAAAAGACGTGGCGGATGTACAATCGAACAGAAAGATCAGCAAGAAATTACATACAATAACAAGCAGTAGTTGTAGTAGAAGAAATAATAATATTGATAACAACTACCTTGAGATGCCAACTGACATGAAAATCTAATGGAATAAAATGGATAAAGGTACTAAAGAAAATAATTCGTAGTATGAAAGTCATGTACTAAAGTAGCATCTGGCATAAGTTTAAGAAATGAAACCCAAAAGAAAATAATAGATCAAATTATTATTTGAGTGGTTTGAGATGTGTTTGTTGATTTTAAGTTCCGGGATGAAACATTATTTCATTCAAACCCTAGTTTAGGAAGATCAAGGCAAGAGCCAGAGCAGAGGCTACAGACCTGAACCAGGAGCAGGAAGAATGAGTCACCATGGATAAGATTGTGGACTTTACATCACTATCCATTTTGATTTAGTACCTCTTCTTCCATACAAGACATGGCAAATGGGGCTAACCCAACTAAATCTTCTTAACAGTCTTACTAGTTTAAATAGTACCAGTTAAATCTAAATTATTTCACTTTTAAAACCCTAATATTTTAAGTCTTGTCTTCTTCTTCCTCCCTTGGTCTAACCCTCCCTCCAGCCTCACCTCTCTTTTGTTCTTCCATTTTTGAAGAGCGAAGAAGGTCTTCATTAACTAATACCCGATCAAATAGTTTACAATTTATATTCAACAACATTCTAACATTGTTCTAACATTCTTCATTTCATTTTCCTCTCTTCGTCTCCTCATCAGTTCGAGCTCCCCGTGTTCTTCCTGAAGAAATCACTTCGTTGATTTGGAATGGATTGATGATGCCATGGTTGGAAGCAAGGAGCTACACTAATAAGTTTAGATGGTTCCATGCATTGTATATTTTGATGTGGATGAAACTCATTTTGGAGAATTCGATCATTTGGCTTGAAATCGATGTTGTGTGTGTTGAAATGTTGTGGAATGAACATACTTCATTTGAAGAAGGAAAAAACTAGGGTGAGGAATATATCTATTCTATAAAGAAATTCCACTTCAGGTTATTGTACATTAGTGAAAAAATGTGGTAACTTGCAGAAGTAAGAACAAGAGAGTAATGTGAAATTTGAATTTAGAGCAACAACCAAAGGAATTCGAGAAAGGATTAGATTTATATAGTAGAAAAATTCAAGAGGACGATAGAACTTCCATTGGAGCGATATTGTGACAGCAAGGCAAATGATCATCTTTTGTGCATTCCAATAAACAAATAGCCAACATCCTAATCAAGAGCCTAGCAAGACAAAGTTTCAAATGTTTGAAATGTAAATTAGGCATGATATGTATCTATACACTAACTTGAGAAGGTGTAGAAGATACTTTAAATATCCTTGATTGGGCAGATCAGCATTTGATTTAATTTTTAATGTTAAAGATCATTTTATATTCCTTTTTCCTTTTTTATCCAACCAATCCATCAAGGAACATACTTCAATGTAATTGTTCTTTTTAAGCAGAGCATGTTCAGCTGAATAATACACAACAGTATTTTTCCTGTTAGTTTCTACATGTAGCTTACCCCACTGAGTGGATAATGTTTTGTTTGTTGTAGCTGTAAAAGTTTAAATCACTATTATGATAAAAGACAGGTCATATATGTTGCAAAAGAACATATATGTTTTAAGTTCATGATAGTATCATACCGTAAAACCATTATCAAATAAGCGAGATGCTTTCTCCAATTGCACTATGTCATCACCTCCATCAATATTGGTCCTGAAATAGCGCTTTTTCTCTAAAGCAGCAAAGAATTGTCCACAGAGTTCATCTTTAGACACTGTAAAAAGTTTTAAGAAAATATCAAGATAGTTCACCTTCTTCTACGAAATATCATACAAAAGTCAACTGAATCCAATTTACCATTGGACTGGACTAAAAGAGGAAGCCAACTCTAGTGCCAAAAAATTATGGAGATAAATATCATTTTATGTGCAATATTATGAAATTTTAATAACTCACAATCAGATAAAGCATAAATAATATAACATGTTAAGAAATTATTTTTCAAAATTCATTAAAATTTTTAACATTTTGACCCCCAAAAGGCACCAAGCACCAACCAACAGAAAATATTAGATTCAGAAAACTTGTCATGGAAAAGAACAAAAAATTATTTACAGTATTTACTAATATTTGTAGTAATGCTTGTCCAACCAGTCAAATACTAGAGCATGCTCATGGTACAACAAACAAAAAATTAATCTCATACTAACATTTAAACAAATAAATGAATTTAAATATTACAAACTATAAATTTTTCCAGCAAGAAAGATCCTCTTAGTGAGAACCTTGAGATGATAAATGGTAAAAAAAAAAAAAAAAGCATTCTCTGCTACATAGTTATTTATGATTGTTCGAAATTTAAATAAAATAGAGGGAACAGATTTGCTTACCAGAAATGTCAGGGTCCTCTGCCAAATCTTCATCCTAATGAAGACACGTTGAGAGATAAATCAGAACCAAAATTTCAGTACAATTTGAAATTTATGTGATGGAGTGAAAACATTTTAGAGTACAGTATTTGAATACAAAATTTCAATACTTCACCACCAATGTGACACATTTGAAATTAGCTTTAAGTTTAAGGTGAAAAAAGTTAGAATACCAACCAAAATTTCATGATATCCTTATTATATCTTAAAACATTTTAGAGTACAGTAGATTATATCTTAGAGTACAATTTGGAACATTTTGTTTCCTTATTTTTAAAGAGGATTTGATAATCCAGTATGAATACAATTAAAAATTGGCCTGTTGTCTTTGTTCCACGTTTCTCGTCTCTAGAATAAATAGACTTGGTGTGTATTCTAGAAGGAAATTATACAACCAATCTAATAATACATTGATTCATATACATTCATAACCGAATCAGGAGCTAAAAGGAAACAAAATACATACAGCTGAACACATCAACTCTTCCACTAAAGTTGGTGCATAGATATTGTACGTGCCAACTTGGACATAACTGAATCAAATGGACAAGTACGGACTACACGGGTCATCATATCGGCCAGTTGATTAGCGCTTTTAATATAGGGTATCATGTCAGCATTTAAGTTTAAGTCATCTTTGATGTAATAACTGTCAAGTTGAACATGCTTAGTCTGATCATGTTGCACTGGTTTGTTTGTAATCCACAATGGCAGCCACGTTATCTCAAAAAGGTGCATGATGAAGAGCACAATGTAATGGCCAAAAGTATCGTCAAATAGCAGTTATAACGTAGCGAACTTTGATCAAATAATTATGATTCTGCAACACGATCTAATACAAAGTGTTGTCCGATAGTGGACATAGCACTATGGCATAGCGGAATTTGAACAAGCCATTAATTTTCACCATGGTTGACAATATCGGCATCTACACTAGACCATGACACTGGATTTTGTTTCTTCTCCAACTCGTCGCCAAATTGCCCCCGATAAATAACAAATACTTGAGGCAGACCTACTGTCTAGTTTAGACCCATTAAAATCAGAAATAGTGTAACCAACAATGTCTACGTGACCTAATTTCGAGAACACTGTACCCTTGCCATTAGAAACGCCCTCCTCAGACATGGTATGGAAAATAACTAATAGGGTTCTGCGCAGTGAAAGATAGCAGCAGAAGATTTTTTTTCCCAAAGCTGTGATGTCAAAACGAAAACTAGGCTGAATAAGTTTATTCCATATATCTCACGAACATTTATCGAGTACAGACTCGGGTATTCTAATAAGGACAATAATCCAATGAAGCTAAGTATTAATTCATTGATTCTAATTAATGCATAACCGAAACAGGAGATAAAGAAATATATAATACAGCTGTACATCTTAACTCTAAAAATATGGTTAGCATTGTATTTTATTTTATAGAGTGTTATCAATAGAAGATTGCGGAAAAATAGTTAAACACCAAAAACCTGCCATGTGAAATAGCATATAGCGATGCGGGCAAATAGCAGAAGCCACAGGATGGTTGAAATAAACTAATTATCAATTATACAATAAAAGTTGTGTGGCATACAAATAAAAAAGGGAACGGAGGCAGAGCATTGCTTACATATTGAAGGTTTACGTATTACAGTGAATATAGGAGTAACACTCTGAATCTTTAGTTTTTATTCTTCAGTTTAATTATAATTAAAAACCCTAAAAATATCATTTCTCGGGTATTGCCGCTACATCAGCCAGCGGAAACTAGAATAGAAGTCAGTAATTGCCCTAATAGCAAAACTAGGACAGTGGTGCGCTATTCATAACGGATTCATCAAAGTCCTATTTACTAATCGCACTGCTATCGCCAATTTGCGGCTATTTGACAACATTGATTTTATAACAGATATTACACACCATATATAAATATTGTATTTTATTATTCAAAGTTTGTTCATTCTTTCCTCCTGCTTAATCAAAATTCCTATAATTTCAACAGCGAAACTGTTGCCCGTCAAAAAAAAAAAAACAGTGAAACTGTTTACTAGAATAAAATTCACACGTGAAACCAGACATGGAATAATTGAAGGGTTGGGTACATGGTAAAGCACCCAGTGCCTACTCTTTTTCTTTCATGGGTACAGCCAACAAGATGCCAGTATGCCCTATACATATGCTTTAACTTTTTAAGAATTTTGATATCCTAAATAGCTAGGCCACTTACAAAGGCAACACTTCTATAATCCATATACATATTCTCTCTTTCACTGATTAACAATTGAAGGGTTCCATTATAGCTGCTAGAAAGTTGGCACGTGTATAAGAGAAAAATTTCTTCTACAATTGTATTATTACTTAAAAAGGTAGTACTACAGGAATCATCATTTTCCACATTTAACGTAACCAATTTCAAAACATGATTAGTTGGTCACTATAGTTACGAAGATAGTCGTTAAATTCTCATTAAACATCAAATAGTAGTAGCAGAACTAGAATTTGTACATATATGTACTGCATGCTCACCAGTTATAATCATGAAGAACAATTCAAGAAAAAACATGAATTAACAAGGACAAAACAAAATTATAATCAACCAAACAAGTATGGCAAAACACATTGACTCAAATCCATCAATGCACAACAAATTAAAAAAACAAACCGGTCAGTAGAAACAAATAGCCAACAAAGGCTTCTAGGGCGGACATGGTCCACGGTCGATTATTATTACTCACTATCGTAAGATATACTATTTTACTAAACATGTTAAATTTAAGTATATTCAGCTGCTGTGACTTGTGAGTGGTAATCTACCCGTCACCAACTATGAAGAACGGACACCAAAAACACAATATCGACACTGACACGTCAACACTAGAAATAATTAGAAAAAATGAAAAAATGAATAAATTAAATGTAATTACAATTGCAGGTGTCGTTTCAGACAAGGAATCAGACACGTCTTTTTTTCAGAAGTGTCGGTGCTACCGTTCACCCTAAACACACACCTAAATAATCAATATATAACATGAGTGAATCAGCATAACAATAGTGAAAAACAAGAAGAAGAAGAAAAAAAAGGAAAGTAAGAATTTACCATGGATTCCGACGCCTCAGGATGGTCTTTATCACCAGCAGCATTCTGATCAGAGAGTGAACTCGAAGCTTTCATAGAATCCACCCTACCAACTTCACATTGCTTGTTTCCATCAAAGGATTTGAATATATCAACCAACGAATCAGGTTCACCGCTTACAGAAGACGAGTTAATCCTAAAAGCCTCAACCAAACACTCCCTAGCAACCTCAATTCCCTCAGCATCAACCCCGGGGCTAGGTTCAACTACTCCACACAAACCAAACCAAAACAAAAAACCATTACTACATAACAACATCAACAAATCAATCATCAAAATCAAACAACAATTTCCAACCTAACGAAACACCTAAAAATCAAAATTGAATCGGTAATATACACGATGGCGTAGTGAAGCATGTGAAAAAAGCTGAAAGATAGAGAATAGTGCAAACCGTGGTTGAGGAAATGGAGGAAAGAGAGAACTATGCGACGCGAGAGAGGAGAATCGGTGGTGATGCGATTGTGAGACATGGCTTTGGGAATTGAAGAAGAAAGCTAGATTATTAAAGTGTTCATCTTTTTATTCTTTGGAGTTTTTATGTGAGAAATGGTTCTAGAAAGTTCTCGCGAGAAGGAGCTTACAAGTAGAGAAATGCAGCTTCACTTCAATATAAACTTGAAAAGCATAGGCAAAGCAAATCATAGGAATATTATTACTTATTGATGGAATAAGGTTGGGATTAGTAAAAACATTCTCTCAAATTTAAAATAAATACAAAGAATACAATATAATTGTCAATAAGATTATCTTTAGATTGATTAGTATAAAGAAAAATATTATTCTTACACCAGATTTCTACATCTACAGGTCTACACTATGTTTTATTAGTGAGATATTATAATAAAATAAATTAAATTTTTTTTTTTAAATTAAAGAAGTTTATATGAAACAAAATTATTAGATTAACCAGTTTTTTCACTTCATTAATTAATTTTTTATATTTTATTAATCAATTTTGTTTTATTATTAAAAATTATTTTTAATATATGATTGTTTATTAATTAACTTTATCATTTCATTAATCAATTTTTTACATTTCATTAATCAACTTTATTTTATCATTAAAAATTATTGTTCATATACTATCTCTGTCTTAAAATAAAAATTATTTAGAGTTGTTACACATAGATTAAGAAAAGTAATGATTAAGTCAATAAAGATGATATTTTTATAAAATTACCCTTAATTATTATAGGTGGTTATCAATTGTCATAATTTGAAAAAGATTGTAGACAAAATATAAAATTGATAAAAGTTAATTAATTCACATTGAAAAAGTAAAAAGACTATTATTTTGAAATAATTTTTTATGGTTAAAAAAACAATTATTTTAGAACAAAGAGATTATTATTTACGAACATTGTTCACTGATATTACTACTCATACAATGTATTTTTATATTTTTTTAAAATAACTAATGCGAAACTTGTGCCTCTATATGAGTTTTGGTGTGACCGCATATATATCACCCGTTTAGTTTTGAAACTCAAATAAAATAGAAATATTTTAATTTAATTATAAAATAACAACAAAAAAAAGTAGTCAAAGATAAATATTTAAGTTAATTAAATTAATCATTGTTAAGAAAAATCTTAAACACTAATTTAAAAAAATAAATTATACAAAATAGATAAAAATAAAATATATTTCTCAATACTAGTTACCAATGTATTTACACGTTACTAGTAGGGGTATTCAAATCCAAATCAATCCAAATAAAAAACCGAAAACCGATCCAAAAAACCGAAAACCATAAAAAACCGAAAGTTATTGGTTGTGTTTGGATGTTATTTTATGAAAACCGATCGGTTCGGATTGGATTTCGGATGAATTTTTCAAAACCGATCCAAACCAAACTGAACCGCATAAATATATTTTGATACTTATTTACTTTTTATTAGTATGACATGTTATGTGAATTTATTATTAGATGATAATAATTTTTTTAATAATATTTATTAGTTTGGTATAATCTATTTATTTTTATTATTTCAAGCATAATCAATCACTCTCATTTTGTAATATTAACTTTTAATATACTATATGTTATATATTATATCAAATCTATAATTTATTAGTATTTTTATAATATTAATAAAAATATAATGTGTAATTTGGATATCCAAAAACCGATCCAAATTAAACCGCATAAAATTGGATCAGATCAGATTGGATTTTTTTAAATATATCATCCAAAACCGAACCGAACCTTAAGTGAATTAATCTTTGGATCGGATGAGTTTTTGCTTTAAAACCGATCCAAACCGAACCGCGAACACTCCTAGTTACTAGTGTGTTACCCATGCGTCCACACGGATACTGATACGCACGCTTTTGTTCAAAATATAATAAAAAGATAAATAAGAAGAAAAAAATTAATAAAAACAAAATTCTTTTATCAAAATTGTTTTATATCAATAATATATATTTTAATTTTTCATATATTGTCTTAAAAGATATTGTATCTTAAATAAAAAATAATTTTAAAATAAAAATATTAGAAACATAAAAATTTTAAATTTTGTTTTTAAATTCATATATTATTTATATTTCTTTAATTGTACAAAACATGTAATAACTCGTGGGTTCGTACGAATTCTTGTATGGTTATTACTCGTGTGTTCACACAGTATTGTGTATTACCGATGCATTCGAACGATACTGGTGTGTTACCCGTATATTCGCATATGTATTAGTGTGTTACATGTGCGTCCACACAGTACTGATATGTTATCCGTGCGTTTGCAGAATTTTGATATAGTTACTCGTGTATTCACACGATACTGGTGTGTTACTCGTGCGTTCGCACGAATATTAGTGTGATACGCATGCTTTTGTTTTCAAAATATAATAAAAATATTAATAACAAAAACAAAATTGTTTTACTAAAATAATTTATTATAAAAAAATATTTTTTTTAAATAAAAACAAACTTTAGAGTAATTTTGTAATTATATATTTAACATATTTATTTATTATTTATTTTATTATTATTTTTTCTTAAAATCATCTTTATCCATTAACTTTTTCTTTCAAACCCACGTTTTTTAATTAAAATTTTAAATTTTTTTCATATTAAAGTCTTTTATAACTATCCATTTTAAAAGAATTATGTAACCCCACGTTTATAAAAGTGTCTCTATTTATTTTATTTAATTATATTTTCCTTTTTAATTATTATTCATTAAAAATAATAAATGAAGTGTTTACACAAGAAAAAAAATAAATCATATATGAAAGTTATATTCTAAAACCTCCGCAAGACTTATTCTCGAAAATATATATTCTTATAATGATATTTTTGAGATGTAATGGGTTGGAAGTCCGTGAATATTTGTATTTCTCGAGCACCTAGATCCTTGGTCAACTTTAATTCTGTGAGCAGGGTCTCGTATTTAGCTTGATTGTTCGACGTGGGAAACGAGAGGGTGAGGGAATGTTCGATCACGACGTTTTCTCCGTTCTCAAGGAGGATTCTACTCCGCTCCCCGTCGAGTTGGAAGGTCTACAAATTCGGTCCACTTATGCTTCTCCCCTACAGGGGGTCATGAGTGGTCATCTATGCGACGAAGTCGGCCATTGCTTGGATTTTAAGGGCTTTCCTGCTCTCGTACTGAACGTCGAACTCTGAGAGTTCTAGGGACCATTTCAGCATTCGACCAGCCATGTTTGGTCGACCTAGGAGTTGTCTCATAGGTTGGTTTGTTGTACGATGACCGTGTGCGCTAGAAAGTAATGTCTAAGTCTCATCGCTGCATTGACGAGGGCTAATGCTACTTTTTCAATCTGCTGGTACCAAACCTCGGGGCCTTGTAACACTTTGCTCGTAAATAGCACTGGTTTTTGCCCATCCGGTGTCTCGAACGAGGGTCGTGCTTACAGCCTCAGCAGAGACGACCGGGTAAAGGAACAAAGTCTCCTTGTTCTCTGGCCGTGATAGCACGGGTTGTTGCGAAAGGCTTTGCTTTAGGTGGAGGAGGGCTTGTTCGCACTCCTTTCTCCACTCGAAAGCCTCTTATTTGCGCAGGAGTTTGAAAAATGGTACTGCATGTTGCGCAGACTTTGCCATAAAACAGGAAACAAGGTGGGCATACCGTTTAGGACTTGTATGGATATTTTTGAGCTAGGCGTGGGAAGCTCAGAGAATGCTCGACACTTGTCGGGGTTGGCTTCGGTTCCCTGTTCGGTCAGATAGAAATCGAGGAATTTTCCTGCCTTAACCCCAAAGGTGCATTTCTCGGGATTGAATTTCATTTTGCATTGTCTCGCTTAGGCGAAGACTCTTATGAGGTGGGCAACATAGTCGGTTTTTATTTGAGATTTGACGATCATGTCGTCCATGTATACCTCGAGCATGTCTCTGATCTCGTCGTGGAAGACTTTATTCCTCATTCGCTAGTATGTTGCCCCTGCATTTTTTAGGCGGAAGGGCATTACGTTGTAGAAGTAATTGCCCGAACCGGTCATGAAGGCGGTGCAATGTTTGTCGCTCACTACCATTGGAATTTGGTTATAGCCCGAGTAGGTGTCCATAAATGATAAAATTTTGTAGTCGGTCGAGTTGTCAACCTGCATATTAATGTTAGGTAACGAAAAATCATATTTGGGACATGCCCGGTTAAGATCAGTATAATCAACACACATTCTCCATTTTTCATTATCCTTTTTGACAAGTGCAATGTTTGAGAGTCAGGTTGAATACCGGGCCTCAGAAATAAAATGTCTCTAGGAGGTCTTTTATAGCTTTTTCAACAGCCTCCGCTTTTTTGAGAGACTGCCTACGCCTACTTTACACTACTGCGTTAACAGTTGGATCAACGATGAGTCGGTGACAGGCGACCTCAAGGTCGAGTCCGGACATCTCTACAGCACTCCACTGGAATAAATCAACATTCTCCCTTAAGTAAAATTTGAGTATCTTCCTCTCCAAGCCATAGAGTTCAGCGCCGATCTTCATGCCTTTATGGGGATCTTCGCCGAGGAGGGTGAACTCAAAGTCTTCGTTTGGGATGGGTCGGAAAGGATCGTGTTCACCATTGGGGGCTTCGACTTCATCTTTGTCAAAGTGGGCGTCGATCGAAATGGAGTCGACCTTTGGTGGAGCCTTTTGTTCTTCGATCCGAGCAGGCTTTGATTCAGGCCGAGCTGTGTTTGCTCTTTTGGTAGGCCGTGCCCCAATGTCGACCATGATTTTCCCTTTGGAAGCTGTGTGGAAACATCTCCTGGCAGTTGCGATGTCTCCATGGATAGTGGCTATGCGGACCCTCCTGGTGTAAAACTTCATCTTCAAATGAATTGTGGAGGGCACGACGGTCATCTCGGCCAGTGACGGTCTCCCCGAGATGTAGTTGTAGAGAGACGGGCAGTCGATCACCAGAAACCGCACCTTAACTTATCGGGATGTAGTTTCTTCCCCGAAGGTGACAAAGAGCTCAACGTGGCCCCACAGCTTGGAGGTCGAGTCTTTGAA